GATCATATATGGAAGATGGCATTAATCTGAGCTACGTTCACGGAGTACATGCACTTTATGCAACCAACCTAACATTCAAGAGTTATTGAATGCATGCTATTTAGATTTCTTATTGACTTAAATAAATACATTATTTTAAGTTTATAGTTTGAAAATATCTGGGGGGGGGGCGGAGTCCCAGAGTCCTCCTTCACGAGCCGCCACTGGCCCAGTAAATACACTTTTAGAAGAGGTAGATGCTGAAGCCAACGACATGAAATTGTTATAGAGAATCTTTATTAAATGGTGTATTTTACATATTTTCCTCTATTTAATTATCTACTTTCTTTGGTAAATAAAATTCAGATTTTGTAGCAATCCTGTATATTCCCGACACTGTTTCTGTTGATCATGTATCATGTCTTTGGATTTTTGAAGCATACTTTGAGAAAATAAGGATGATTTTTGTAGTGCACTACTAACTGAAGGTACAACAAAAAACATTTCTTTCTGATATTACGAAAATAGGCGCAGGTGTGGACGGTGAATTTTAAATATAAAATGTGTTGTCATTTTTTATACACTTTCATATAATATTAGTACCCTATATAATAAATAAAAAATAATGCTAAATTAAAAGAACTCTGATTATTTTATTACTTGCCTCAAATGATCATGCTTAGTTAGAACTAGAGTTCCTATAATACATGACATTGATCGAGAATGAAGAACGCCTTTTTAGAACACTAAAAGATAAATGAACACAAGTGTGTAATGTTTTATTGATTATTAATTTGTTTGTTACAAAAATACGAAACAGTTGGATGATTGATAGATAGTCATGCCAATATTTTCTTGTACATGTATATAAGCTTGTTGCTTTATAGGCACGGGGAAGGAAAATACCTTTTAAAGTCTAAGCAGGGAAGTTTTTGTGTTACATCGATTTTTTTATGTATGAAACACACAAAAACTGTTATAATAATAATTCAATTCATTATAGTAAAAATTACGCAACATCGATTGCTCTTTTTTCCTTACTTACTGAATGTTTTACTATACCTGTGAAAAAAATTTTAAAATATGAAGTAAACTCTTCACCAATGGAATCAGGTTATTTTTGTGAAAGTGGTTTTGCATAAGCAAAAATATCACACTGAAAAGGGCAGACAATACAAAAGAAATATCACTTTATATCGCCTTTAAAAAGTTGTTAACGTTTTGATAATCTAGCAATTTTCGTCTTGTTCTGACTTTTCGTTTTAATTACTTTTGACAGTTTAAATTTGTTTGCTTTGGTCTGTTTCCACAGTTAGAGCAATCATTATGATGTTTATTCTATTATTACTTACTTCATCTTTTAGAATTTTTAGGCAAGGGCACAGAATAATTTGAAACAGATTTCACTGTTCAACAAAATAAGAGCGGTCTCATTTAATTTTCTTTTAACGATAATACTTTCCTTTTCTAAAAATTTGAATTGAATTATATTACTGTTTTCCCAAGCGTGATCGCAAATTTTTTATTTCTCAATGTAATCTCTGTGCTCGTCTATTCTGATTTTCATAGGTCAAGAGGTCTCCCCAACATACAATTATGTTATAAATGAATGTTTTGAAATATGAATATTTGACAACAAAAGTCCGTAAAGTGTTATTTGCCTGAAAAACTTTTCTAATGTTAACCTATTCTACCAAATTTTTCGTATAATATAGGTATATTTGGAATTTTTATTGTGGTTGTAATTCACAATAAAACATGCATTCTTGTTGGCTAAAAATTCTTGAATTTGAAGTAAGTAATAATACACTAGGCACAGAAATTAAAGGATATTAAAAAAAATCCAAAAATTCTGGGTGATTTTCAAAGAGCTGTAACTTGGGGGGAAATGATCGCAGAGAGAGAGAATAAAAAAAATGAAATTGAAGCTTCAAGTGTCAAGTTTTCAGTTCTCCAGTTTAAAATTTTTTAGTGTCAGCAGTTTTTGACTAATCATAAGAAAATCAACGGAAAAAAAATTGTAAATCTTTACTTTTTTAAAAAAGGCCTATTGGATTTTTTGGTAATATCATCATGAAGCTCTTTTAAATAATTTAATTATCTTCTATTTGAACTGTTCTACGATTACACAGCCACACAAAAAAGAAAAGTTGTCTGTACTTTTCATGCGTCAAGTTATCTGTAGTATTTTTGCCTCCTGATCACGAATCCGGTGTCAGAATTGAGCGATCACATCACAGGAATTTCCTAATCTCAAAAAAACAGCTAAAAAAAGCAAAAATTCATGAAAAAGTGCTAGGAAAAATACAAATATTTTTGTTTCTATATTCAAATGTTCATTTATATAGTTAAGATCCCGCCCAACGTGAATCCATGGTCAGAATTAATGGTTGTTTTTCTAACCTCAAAAAAAAGGGGTCAATTAAGTGTAACAAAAGCCGGGACGTGTATTAATTTATTTATTAGTTCTCGGAACGGATGGGCCAAAAAGTAAAATATTTCAGTCAACACAGATTATCGAAAGTTGAGGGCTTTCAAGTAGGTAGCGTCGTCCTTCGGAGAAATTTACCAATATTTTTAACAAGTTCACTTAAACTGTCGGGGCCATGTGTTAAGCATCTAGTATAAGAGAAAAATCGATATTTCAAATAACGCGCAAAATGGATTCCAAAGAACGTAGGAATTCCAAGAATAAGTTGTTAGAATGTTGTCAGGAAAATAGCTGTTTTTTTGACGGATTTTCCAAGCTATAAGAATAGATTAAATGAGATCGACTAATCCGTCCCGTATTTGCTACACGGAGTCACTAGAGGAAGGCTAGGGTTACTTGTAAGTCACATAATTATTTATATAAATGTAGATCCAGTCCATTAGACAATTATTAACATGGCATAGTTATGCCAAAGCATCCCGACATTCAGGGTTCCCGTCAATAAGATAAGAACAGAAAGTTCTGGACCCAAGAAATGGGCGTGTCGAAGCGAAGTGTCGAATTCGAAAAGTCAGTTCTTCCTTGGGTTTCACATTGAGTTTTAGAGTCTCGGGCTAGTTAATTAAATTTAATAATGGATAAAGTTTTTCCAAATTTGGATATGAAGCGCGCATTACCTGAATCTCGGTACACTGTCACGTGTCAATAAATTAAGTAATAATGTTGTTCGAGCCGTTGTGTTGTTATTTTGTTTGTTTGTTTGTTTGTTTTGTTTATTATTATTAAAACCCTTCCTGGAAGTTATGGTGTTTTTTTTTGTTTCTCTCAACTTCAGTGTCACCCTGTATAGCCAGCCACTGGATTACGTTCTACGTAAGCAATAGAGGGTAAGTGCCTGAAATTCATTCTCTAAACATACAACATTTCTAAGTTCCCACTTATTAATTAAAGTATAATGATAAACACCCTTTCGAGAATTGAATAGTAAACTCTTCTAAAACCCAGATTCGTTATGATACCGGTCATAACGACAGATAGATAATTAAAGAAATAACCCCTCAGGTTACATAAGGCCAGATATCACGAATTTTCAAAGAATCACAGATTCGCGCCAAATTTGGGATACGAGGGTTTTTTGGGTCGCTGATCACGGATCCGAGGTCAATTTTGCAAAATTCAATATGGCGGATCCAAGATGGGTGACTAAATTTTCAAATAATAACAGAGTTGCAGCAAATTTGGATACGGGGGTTTTCGGGGCCGCTGATTACGTATTCGGGGTCAGAATTGCGAAATTCATTTTGTAATATTTTACTTTATAACCTGAGTACCCAATCATGTATTAAATGTAAACTTTCTGTTCAGAGAAATAGATATATTTTTTAATTTTTAATAAAAAAAGTTAAAACAATTAAAATTTTTTAATCGTTAATTTTTATGATTTAACACTAAAACAATTTATTTCTATGCCATTCGATCGATTATTTAAAATAAAAAAAAGTTGCTTTCGAAATTTTGTTTTATGACAAAGATAAAAAATCACGTTCGTTTTGTGAAATTGTTATAACTTTTTTATTAAAAATTAAAAAATATATCTATTTCTCTGAAAAGATAGGTTATATTTTTAAGAGTAAATTGGAAAAAAAAATTATAAAATTCATTGATTTTTCTGCTTGTTATGATTTTTAAATTTCTGAAATCATCCCTTAACTTCTAGTCTCCCTAATTCCCCCCTGTTAATTTTAATAGTACAAGAAAAAGTCACTATACCATTTTTATGTAGAATTTTATGCTCTACAACTTTTATAAAAACTTATTTTTCTAGCTCTTACCCCTTTGGAATTAACTTGAAAACCCCTTTATTTTATCTTTTTTCACCCCTGGCCGGGGGTTGCAAAAAAAATTACTGTCACTTATTGTTATTATATACCTCAAATTAACTTATATCAAAAATTCAGGCAAGTTGCCCAAAATTGCCTATTGCCTATTTAATTGGACTATAATATGCGAGACTGCTTAGAATCGGTAATCAGGAACAAAGGTGGCAATACCCGATATTAAATTGTGATCTGCAACGTCAAATCAACCAATTTTTTTTTGACGTTTGTGTAACTTCTGGATATGTTAAAAAAAATTTGAAAAATTTTTTTTTTCATTTTATTTTAGAATAATGAACGTTTTTTATGAAGAAAATATGAATTATTGCTAAAAAAACATTTTTACCAAAAAAATTAATAAAATGTGAAAAAATATTTATTACATTGATTTTCAGCAAAACGACAAATTTAAAAATTCCGGGCACTGGGAAAAAAAACTAATAACCAATTTTCATCTATCAACTACAAGAGTTAATAATACTACAGAAGAAAGTGTATAAACGTTTAGAGTTGTTTTTACAAGATCTACCTAAATCCGAGATTGTACACCATTTTCTGAATATCCTGTATATTTTGGTTGAATGATTTCCGGGCTGGTTGCCAGTCGTCGATTTAGAACACTTGACGTTTCGAGAGACATATCGCTCTCTTCTTCAGAAGTTACTCTGAAACTGGAGATCTACTAGTCTTGTCACTATTTATATTTGATGTGGTCACTGGTCCATGATGTTCCGGTGGGTGACCTCATACGCGTTGTTGAGTTCCAGTGGATTTCTTTCACGGATGACTCTCTTCCCTATACCTGGCAGATCCACGCCACCATCCCTGTTGAAATTGTTCGGATTTCTGTAAATTTCTAAAGCTTCTCTGTATAGTCGGGGCTAAAATCTTCTCTCTCTCACCACCATGTTGGCTTCACTCAGATCCACTGTGTGTCCCGTGTCCGCCCTATGCTCTGCTACTGCCGATTTTTTCCAGTTGTTATTTTTGAGGTGACTTTTGTGTTCCTTTAATTTCGTGTTGATGGATGTGCCTTCCTGTTTGTCCTATGTAGACCGTTCCGCAAGAGCAAGGAATACTTTATTCAGATACCTATCTGTGTGAGTTGGCTTCCTATATACTCGATGTTCTAAAGTGTCATCTGGTTTCCTCTCAACCAAAACATCCAAGAAGGGAAGAGCGGCGTTTTTCTCTACTTCCATGGTAAACTGGATATCTGGATGTATCCCATTGATGTGATCCAGGAAATCCGCTACGGTGTTGCGTCCGTGGGGCCAGATGATGAAAGTGTCGTCAACATATCGGTACCAGCATTTAGGCTTCAAAGTTGTGGATTTCAGGGCTTTCTTCTCAAAGGCTCCCTTCGTCTGTTCGTAGAATTGGTCCCGGAATGCAAAGAAGGTCGATTTTATGCACACTTTTGCCAATTCCATTAGACTCTCACCTTTTTCCTCTGCGATTAGTCTTCGATGCAGTTTCTCCAAAGCTTCGTCGACAGGTACTTTCGTAAATAGGGATGTAACATGGAAGCTCACTAGGATATCTCCTGGTTGGAGTTCAATTCCTCGAATCCTGTCGATAAAGTCTCCGGCGTTTTTGACGTGATACTCTGTCCTCCCTACTAAGTCCCTTATCTCATGTGCGACGTATCGGGCCAGGGGGTGTGTTGCTGATCCAACTGCACTCACTATCGGTCGAAGAGGGATATTCGGTTTGTGAATCTTTGGCAAGCAGTACAGCTGAGGTGTCCTTGAGTCGGTTTGGATCAAACTCCTGTGAAGTTCCTTGGGTATGTTTGAGGATCGGACTGCAACGGCTACCTTCTTCTCAACTTTCTTGACTGTGTTGTTTCGGATGTTCTTGTAAATGGGATCCAATAATAGGCCTGGCGATGTAGTCCACGGTGTTCAGTACGACTGTTGCGTTCCCCTTGTCGGCAGGCAGTATTGTTATTGATTCATTCTTCTGAAGATCTTTAAGGGCTTGAATCTCCCTGCGGTTCAGGTTGGGTTTGGGAGGTTTAGCAGTCCGAAGAGAGCAGTCTCCAGAGAACTTATAATTTCCTCCTTCGGGATTGTCTTGGGGGCTATGGCGAAGTTCAGACCTTTGGTAAATACCTCTGTAGTGTCTTCATCCAGTTGGATGGATGCAAGGTTGATGACGGTCCGAGACTTGTTTAAGTTGGCTTGTTTCGGGGATTGGTCCTTGAGCAGCTTCTGGAACTTGGATTTCTGCTTGGTTTCTTCTCCTTTGAAAGAAGCTTTCTCCGTAGTTAATTTGTCCACCAAATCCCAGTTGGCTTGTTTCGGGGATTGGTCCTTGAGCAGCTTCTGGAACTTGGATTTCTGCTTGGTTTCTTCTCCTTTGAAAGAAGCTTTCTCCGTAGTTAATTTGTCCACCAAATCCCAGGTTTCTCTGTCCAGTTTGTCGGTTAATCTGAGGTGTACTTCCAGTAGATCCCTTTCAGTTTGGTCTAGTTTCCTCCTGGTGTCCCTAAATTTCTCAAGTAGAAGGCAGGTACTGGCTCGGTGTAAGATTCTTTGAGTAGAGTGGCTCTGGACGTGGTGTTTTACTTTCAGGAACCCTGGTATGACTTATTCCTCGCGGCACCGACACAAGAAGGCCAGTTGACTTAGTAGCTTCTGTTTTCTTATCCGGTATTTCTCCAGTTTTTTCGTAACGAAGTAAGTTTCTTCCTCGTAGAGGCTCCTTAGTTTTGTTTGTAGGCTTCCGTGGTTGTCGTTAATGGTTGAATGATTTCCGGGCTGGTTGCCACGTCGTCGATTTGCAACACTTGGCGTTTCGAGAGACATATCGCTCTTCTTCAGAAGTTACTCTGAAACTGGAGATCTACTAGTCTCGTCACTATTTATATTTGATGTGGTCATCTGGGTGACCTCGTACGCGTTGTTGACGTTCCAGTGGGTTGTGCAATCCTGTATATTTTATTTTTTCTAATAACTAATAACGTGGTTGATTTTATTGTTTACTTAACAAATGTAATATTAGTCGAGTTTATACATACTCAAACTCGTACTGTATACGTTATAAATTTTATGGAAACATGAAAACTAAAATGCAGGCAATAATAAAGAAGTATATATTCGAATTCAGAAACATGTTTTATTGTACAAAATAAAATAATCCATTTGAAAATTGACGATTCCGGAGATATATTGTTTCGACAGAGATAAATGTACCTTCTGCAATAAAATGTGAGATAAAACAAGAATGCTGCTATATATCAATTTAATGAAAAATAAATGCGAAAGGGGGACCGATAATTATAAAATATTTAATTGCTTCTCCCAATGCCGCGCTGGCGCTGTTATTAATGAAAAAAGGATTCTTGGAAATTAAATATCCCTTTAGACTAAAGAAAAATAGTATTATCGATGTTACATTTTGAATATATGGATCAGAATGGCAGGTTATCACATTACCAAATACAGAACATTCCATAAAAAGTAGTTACTTCAGTCGCGATCCTACCTTGAACTGTACATTTCGTACATTTGACCTCAACCTTCTGCAATAAAATGTGAAGGACGAAATAAAAATATAATGAACCAAAAATGAGAAAAGGGGGATATAATTATAAAATGTTTGGTTGCTTCTTGTGACTCCTTAATAAATGCAGTAGGGACTTTGGAAATTTAATTTCATTTTAGAAAGAAAAATAATGTTACTGTTCTTAATTTGGAGTACGTAAATAGAAATTTTAGTAGTAATACATCTACTGTGTTTACTACTAAAAGCGACTGTTAGTACTAGAAAATACGGATAGAGCATGGCCTGATTTCATCACACAGCAAGGGACAAAGTCGTGCCAAAAGCACACAAATTTCACAAATTAAAGTTACTTTACTACCTCTCTCAAGCGTTATGCTTAGTAAAACTCAAATATTGATATTATATAAAAATTAATAGCGTCAAAAGATTTGTCATTTCAATCAACGATGTTACAAAATGTTCGAAGATATGGGCAACTATACTACCGCTGCATTTTACTGTTCATAAAAGATACGTTTCATCTCTGACAGTAAACAGAAGCCATTATTACATGGCTTTTGTCTACTCCACATCAACGAATGCAATTGTGCCTTCCGCAATAAAATGTCACAAAAAAATAAAAATTTAATTAACCATAAATGTGAGAATCGCTTTTTGTGGGGCCACGGCCGTAATAAATGAAACAAGAAAAGGAATTTGCAAATTAATATATTATTTTATAAACAAGAATAAGCAAGTAGATATTTGAATGAATATGATAGGCTCAACAAATTCATTATTACCAAATGCAAGGACTGCTTGAAACAAATAAAATATCGCGTGCTTAAATTGTAATAGCAAGGGATTATACAGGGTGTTCCACCTAAGAGGAATTCTTCTGTAACTCAGCAACTGTAAAATTTATTAAAAAAATGGTTTTAATAAAAGTTACCTAGAATCATGTGTGCCATTTAAAGAAATTATTTTTAGCTTTACAGGGTGTTCCATTTTGCGTGGGCGCTACATAACTTTGTTATTTTAAATGAAACACCCTGTATATTATTGCATTTTTGAATTCCTTGGCTAATATTAGGTGGAGATTATTAAATATACTTGGTGTTTAAAATTTACCGTTTTCGAAATAATCAGTTCTTTCTGAAAAAAATCACAATTTCAGCTCTCTAAATGAGGCTAGATAACGTCTAAACCATAATAGTTAGAAACCTCCAGTTTACACAGTTTGTTTTGGCATAAATTACTCTATCTTGTCATCTGTGAGCAAAACGTGGACCTTAATCAGACTCGAAAATACTGAGATCTACATATAATAATCTTACGAGTTGAAAAACTTTTTTTTTCAAATGGAATGACCCATATCAATTTTCATGGGTGAATGTAAAATTGAATGCCCTTTCGACTAATATAAGGTTGTCCATACTTATCTTTAACAGTTTTACATAAAAATCAGGTTCTTCTCTAAAATCCGAAATAACTATGTAACAGCGCCAAGAACGCCTTGCAAAACCACTTTTCTCTCACATCTTATCAGGCCTGGGATTGACAGTTTCAATATGTACTGGCATTTTTAAAAAGTGGTTTGACAAACAAAAGTAAACCATTAACAACAACTAAAACAAAACGCAAAACGAAATAAACTGAAACTCGGAACACAACAGGGAGAAGAATACTTAGACCACTGATTTACATCAATTGGTCGAATTGTCCTCCATTTTGATTAATACACAAACGAATTCGGATTTTAAAAGACTGTTCAACATTGGTCAACATGTCTGGCGTAATTTCTTGAAATGCTACTGTAATGCACTGTCACATATATTCCGTAGTACCTAGTTGGTAACGTAAACTTTGCTTTTTATAAATCCCCATAAAAGGAAGTCGCAACTTATCATATCTGGACACCTTGAAGGCCAACTCACTGGTCTCCCGCGTCCAATTCATCTGTTGGGGAAAGTTTCCTGTAAAAACTGACAAACCGCAGCGGTATTGTGAGGTGGAGCACCATCATGTTGCATCTACATTTTTCAAAGTGTAGCTAAAGGAATGTCGCCTAACAAATTTTCTACAGTGTTTGTTAAAAAATTTAAATAAACTGCTCTAGTTAGATGCTTGACAAAAAATAATGGTAATGACATGGGTTTCCAAAATTGCTCCCCACACATTCAAAGACCATTGTTGGCTATGAGTTGTCCTGAATTGATGAGAATTTACTGTGTCATAATAAAGGCAATTATGACTAATAACGAAACCAAAATAATTTTTATGAAAAGTAGCCTCATCGGAGAACATGACCCGTTTAAAAAAATCATCATCTTGATTTAACGTCTCAAGTGCCCACTGACAAAACTCCAGTCTCCGCTGAAAGTCTACTTTTAGTAACTCTTGGAGAAATTGGATGCGATAAGGATGTGCTGTGCTGTGCTTTTGTAAAATCCTATCGACGTTATACTAATACAATTGCAAGGCCTTCTTGACGCTGTTACATAGCTACTTTTTCGGACTTTAGAAATGAACCTGATTTTTCTGGAAAACTGTTTTAGAGATAAGTATGGACAACCTTATATCAGTCGAAAGGGCATTCAACTTTGCATTCACCCATGACAATTAATATGGGTCATTCCATTTGAAAAAAAAGTTTTTCAACTCGTAAGATTATTAAATGAAGGTCTCAGTATTTCCGAGTCTGAATAACGTACACGTTTTCCTCACAATTGGCAAGATAGAATAATTTATGCCAAAACGAACTGTGAAAACTGCAGATTTCTAACTCTTACGGTTTAGATACTATCTAACACCATTTAGAGAGCTGAAATCGTGATTTTTTTTCAATAACAACTGATTATCTCGAAAACAGTAAGTTTTAAACACCATGTACATTTAATAAACTCTACCTAATATTAACCAAGGAATTCAAAAACGCAATAATATACATGGTGTTCCATTCAAAATAACAAAATTATGTAGCGCCTACGCGAAATGGAACACCCTGTATAGCTAAAAATACTTTCTTTACATGGCCCACATGATTCCAGACAACTTTTATTAAAACCGTTTTTTTATAAATTTGACAGTTACAGAGTTACCGTGGATTCTCTCTTAGGTTGAACACCCTGTATATGAAAGATATCGAAAGGTGCCAAAAATTTTGAAATAGTATGTTCCCTAAATTTAATTCATTTTTGCAGTTTTTAATTTAGTAATATCAGTTTTAAAATCTTAGCCAATAAAATATAAAATCATTATACATATAATTACGAAGAATTGTAATGAAAAAATCAATAGTGTAACCAAGAAAAAATGTATAAGCTGTATGTGACATTTCACTATATTTATTTCTGATATAGTATAAATATATTGTAAAAAAAACATTTATTAAAAAATAAATCAAAAAATTAAGCAGAAATCGATAAACTAACACGACAAGTTAAATAATGTTTTATATGATAGCGCGACACGATAGTGTGTTCGAAACGACTACAGTTGAATCCAGCGAAGCTGCGTAGGCTATTTGGCCGATATTATATTCCATACATAAATGCAATCAAATATTTTCAAATATAAAAAATATGATTTAAATTTAAAGTTCAAGCGACCTTAACGGAAAACCCTTTACAATTTAAAGTACCATTCATCTTTAGAAGGTACAAACATTTTATTTTGAAAATTATAATTTTAGTAATGATTTGATGAAGCTTATTTTTATTATTCCGACAGTTTTTAAAACCCCTTTTCTACGAAATAGGCATCACGGTTTTCATAAATGAGTGCTACATTTTTTTTAAGAAATTCCGCTCTTATATTATCATCATAGCTAATAATACAATAAAATATTTTTGTTTTTGGAAAAAAGTATGTAGCTTATCCAATACCTCCATTCAATACGGTGTATTTAAATGAAGGAACATACATTCTAGAAGGTATCCTTGAGGCCAAAATATGATAATTTCATATACTTTGCTTCATAGTTATTTTGCTAATTTCCATATTTAAATTTTGATATACAGTCAGAAAATAAAAAATTGTTAACTAGTTTTAGGGCGAAGTGACTTTATTTTAAATTTCCAAAGTTATGTATAGCAAATCTCAAGTTTGATCTCCATATTAATTTTATACTTAATAATATAGACTGGAAATGAAACATAAAAACTTTCAAACGTCATCTCACTGACACAGACAGATCCAATAATTTTTCCCTGTAATAGTTTTATGTCTCATTTAAAGAAATATTGGCAATATTTACTGCCACCAATTTTGTTTTTCAATAATTAATCCCTCATTAATTCCGAAATCAACGCCTTCATTC